TCATAAAAAATTACTTAATAGCATTATTTTTCACATCATTAATACCACTAATATTAATTTAAAAATTTTATTAATGATTTATTTACAAAAATCTTGTAGTTTTAAACAACTTGTAACTTACGAACCTACCCAAACTATAATCATTCATAATTTCATAAAACATTACAAATATTAACACTTTTATAATGTAATATTTCAAAAATTATTTATACGAAATTAAAATTTGAAAACAGGGGACTAATAGTAATAAATTTCAGTAATATTATTGCTACAGGTGCCACTCAGCAGGTCATTATTAAAAAAATCATTGTTTTATATTTAGATAAATGTGTTGGATGAATTACATTAAAATAGAGATGTCACATTATTTTATCTTTTGCTTTATGTGGTGTTGTACTTGTAAACCACAATTTTTTCATTCATTTTGCTTAATTTAATTAATTATAAAACCAGCCAAAATATTTAACAAACAAAAATTACTAAAACAAACAGAGAGAGAGAAAAAAACACACAATTAAATTTAAATGTATTTGGTCATTTGTTCATGGTTGGTTAAATTTTGGTCAACTGTTTTTTGGTTAGTACATAGTACGACTAATAGCAATAGTAGTGTAATAGTAGCAGTTTTACTATTTGGGAGGGATTCACTTTTAATATGACAAATGACTTTTTTTTTTTGTTTGTCTGCCTGACTGTCTGTCGTAGTTTCGCCTAATAATGTTGTATTTCCTAAAAACAAACAAACAGAAAAAAACTATTTAGAGGTGGAAAAAGTTTTAAAGTGAAATTAATATTTGTTGTTTTTTTGTTGTAATTTGAAATTAGTTAATATTGTTTTTGTAAATTTGGTCATGCCAGTCTAATGAATGTTTTTTGAATTGAGTTTAATGTTGTTTGCAAGTAAAAAATTTATAATTAATTTTTTTGTTATTTATTCAAATTTATATATTTTTTGTGTTTTAATGTTTAGTTGCGAAATATAGCTGACATTAACAAAGTACTACTTTTCGAAACCACGATTTTTACATTCCAAATTGCAATTAATGTTAGCTATTCAAAAACATTGTTTTCTATTCGAAAGCAAAGCTTTCCACTCAAAAACAATAACATTTCCTATTCGAAAATAATGTTTTCTATTCGAAAACAATATTCTCTTTTTAAGATCAATATTTTCTATTCGAAATCAACGATTTCCATTCAAAAACAATGTTTCTTCAACGAAGACAATTTTTGTGTTCGAAAATAATGTTTTTCTATTCGAAAATTAAACTTCTATTCGAAAAATAAGCTTTTCTATTCGAAATAAAATGTAGAACTGAATTATAACTGAATTATAACTGAATTATAAATGAATTATAACTGAATTATAACTGAATTATAACTAAATTATAACTAAATTATAACTAAATTATAACTGAACTAGAACTGAACTAGAACTGAACTAGAACTGAACTAGAACTGAACTAGATCTGAACTAGAACTGAACTAGAACTGAGCTAGATCTGAACTAGAACTGAACTAGAACTGAACTAGAACTGAACTAGAACTGAACTAGAACTGAACTAGAACTGAACTAGAACTGAACTAGAACTGAACTAGAACTGAACTAGAACTGAACTAGAACTGAACTAGAACTGAACTAGAACTGAACTAGAACTGAACTAGAACTCAACTAGAACTGAACTAGAACTGAACTAGAACTGAACTAGAACTGAACTAGAACTGAACTAGAACTGAACTAGAACTGAACTAGAACTGAACTAGATCTGAACTAGAACTGAACTAGAACTGAACTAGAACTGAACTAGAACTGAACTAGATCTGAACTAGAACTGAACTAGAACTGAACTAGAACTGAACTAGAACTGAACTAGAACTGAACTAGAACTGAACTAGAACTGAATTAGAACTGAACTAGAACTGAACTAGAACTGAACTAGAACTGAACTAGAACTGAACTAGAACAGAACTAGAACTAAATTAGAACTGAACTAGAACTGAACTAGAACTGAACTAGAACTGAACTAGAACTGAACTAGAACTGAACTAGAACTGAACTAGAACTGAACAAGAACTGAACTAGAACTGAACTAGAACTGAACTAGAACTGAACTAGAACTGAACTAGAACTGAACTAGAACTGAACTAGAACTGAACTAGAACTGAACTAGAACTGAACTAGAACTGAACTAGAACTGAACTAGAACTGAACTAGAACTGAACTAGAACTGAACTAGAACTGAACTAGAACTGAACTAGAACTGAACTAGAACTGAACTAGAACTGAACTAACTGAACTAGAACTGAACTAGAACTGAACTAGAACTGAACTAGAACTGAACTAGAACTGAACTAGAACTGAACTAGAACTGAACTAGAACTGAACTAGAACTGAACAAGAACTGAACTAGAACTGAACTAGAACTGAACTGAACTAGAACTGAACTAGAACTGAATTAGAACTGAACTAGAACTGAACTAGAACTGAACTGAACTAGAACTGAACTAGAACTGAACTAGAACTGAACTAGAACTGAACTAGAACTGAACTAGAACTGAACTAGAACTGAACTAGAACTGAACTAGAACCGAACTAGAACTGAACTAGAACTGAACTAGAAACTGAACTAGAACTGAACTAGAACTGAACTAGAACTAAATTAGAACTGAACTAGAACTGAACTAGAACTGAACTAGAACTGAACTAGAACTGAACTAGAACTGAACTAGAACTGAACTAGAACTGAACTAGAACTGAACTAGAACTGAACTAGAACTGAACTAGAACTGAACTAAGAACTGAACTAGAACTGAACTAGAACTGAACTAGAACTGAACTAGAACTGAACTAGAACTGAACTAGAACTGAACTAGAACTGAACTAGAACTGAACTAGAACTGAACTAGAACTGAACTAGAACGAACTAGAACTGAACTAGAACTGAACTAGAACTGAACTAGAACTGAACTAGAACTGAACTAGAATAACTGAACTACTAGAACTGAACTAGAACTGAACTAGAACTGAACTAACTGAACTAGAACTGAATTAGAACTGAACTAGATACTGAACTAGAACTGAGCTAGAACTGAACTAGATCTGAACTGAACTGAACTAGAACTGAACTAGAACTGAACTAGAACTGAACTAGAACTGAACTAGAACTGAACTAGAACTGAACTAGAACTGAACTAGAACTGATGCTAGAACTGAACTAGATCTGAACTAGAACTGAACTAGAACCTGAACTAGAATGAACTAGAACTAAACTAGAACTTAACTAGAATTGAACTAGAACTGAACTAGAACTGAACTAGAAATGAACTGGAACTGAACTAGAACTGAACTAGAACTAAACTAGAACTAGAACTGAACTAGAACAGAACTAGAACTGAACTAGAACTGAACTTGAACTGAACTAGAACTGAACTAGAACTGAACTAAAACTAAACTAGAACTGAACTAGAACTGAACTAGAACTGAACTAGAACTGATCTAGAACTGAACTAGAACTGAACTAGAACTGAACTAAACTGAACTAGAACTGAACTAGAACTGAAGTAGAACTGAAGTAGAACTGAACTAGAACTGAACTAGAACTGAACTAGAACTGAACTAGAACTAAACCAGAACTGAACTAGAACTAAAACTGAACTAGATTTGAACTAGAACTGATTTAGATTTTAATTAGAACTAAACAAAATTAGAAGTAAATGATAACTGAACTACACCATGGCTTCATGTAAAGATGATTACCCTTTCGCGTGAGTTTTATTCGAGAACAATGTTTCCTGTTCAAAACCAAAGTTCAATAGAAAATATGATTTCATATTTGTAAACCAACAACATTTAATACATTGTTTACATTATGTAAAAACATGTAAATATCTAACTGAATGTTTTACATTTTCAAACACACTAAAACAAATAAACAAAAATATATTCTTAAGAATTTCTCTTGAACTTGTTTGGTTACCTACAAAAACAACAAAATAGTAAATTGTAATTTTAATTGTTTTTTATAACTCATATAATTAAAAAAAAATATGTATAAAAAAATCAACAAAGTTCAAGTTAAATGGTTCATAAACATTGACTTAAAACCTCAAATCTTGATTTTTATATCAAACTAGAAGTTGATGGTTTCTGTTTTCATTTCTATTTTCTTCTTGTTTGTTTTTTTTTTCTATTATCATATTCTT